TGATAATGCATCGAGATATGCATAATAGGTATGCAGTAAGATCCGGGGCAATCTCTTGCGTATCGATCAGCCGATGACAAAAGGCATGTGTTTTCAGCGTAATAATATATTGCTGCAAGTAATGCGGCTATAAATACTCGTGTCTAATGTTCCTATTCCGAAAACGTGAGAAGCCGAGGCTATTTTAACGGATTGGAGCGAGTTCCGGAATCGACGGTACTTGTCCCGTTGACCTTACAGACGCCGGCAGGCGAATCATCACCCTGGCGAAAGTCGATCTCGATCACGCGAGAGCTAGCGCCAAGCGTCTCCGAGCGACAAACGTAGTCTCCGTAGTCCATAGTACAATTTTCTCCACGCTGCAATTTTGTCCTGCGCTGTTTTTTTAACCTCTCGGTCCACGTGCACCTTTAATCGCAATGTCGAATGTTCGAACATTGGTAAGGCCCGCTTCGACCGATCCGATCTCGCATATCATCATACAAATCACGATATTGTTATGCGATTATCGCCAGTTACAATTTGTACTTTGCATATAGGCGTGGTTTTTTTTTTAAACGATGATTTAGTCAGAAAACTTTGATTTTAGAGATATTTCTCTGAAGCATCTTATTAATTAATTATATATGGATTATTCTATAAAAAATTTTTTGCAAATATTAATTTTTATATACATTATTTACTTGTATATTCTTGAAAATTTATTTACAAAAATCTTAGAAGTTTAATAGAATCTGTGCTTGTAGCACTTTTTAAGTGTGAAAGTAAAATTCATGTTTGAATTAAAAAAAAGAAGATAAAATTTCATCAAAATTAAACCTATAAGAATAATATTATGTGTGTTAAAATAAAATTTTATATTTCTAGGTGTTACCAATTTTGGCTGCGGTAGGAACGATAGTTGTTATAGGAGTAGCATTTAAAATATATAAATCCTGGAATGAAAAAAAGAAAAAGTCTGCACCAATACTACTGGTTGATCCAGTAGTTAAGTATAGTCTACCTCTAATTCAAAAAGACATAATAAGTCATGATACAAGGAAATTTAGATTTGGATTACCTACACCAAATCATGTCCTGGGTCTGCCAATTGGTCAACATATACATTTAACAGCAAAAATTGGAGAAGAGGTTGTAATACGTTCATATACGCCTGTATCAAGTGATGATAATCGGGGCTACGTTGATCTGGTTATCAAGGTATAAAATGAGAATACAGAATTGGTGATAATAAAAGAAAATCTGTTTTAATATCGTGATTTATAGGTTTATTTCAAAAATGTGCATCCAAAATTCCCTGAAGGAGGAAAAATGTCTCAATATTTGGAAAATATGAACATAGGGGATACCATTGATTTTAGAGGTCCATCTGGTAGATTGGTTTATAAAGGACAAGGAAAGGTCACTATAAAACTTCTTAGGAAGGAACCAGCCGTAGAATATAATGTTAAAAAGGCAAGTACATTTGCTGCTGTGTATACATATATATAATATAGAATAATTTTATTTTAATATTATCATTATTAAGAACAGCTCCTACTGAAAAAATCATGTCACAATGTTACATGATAAAATCATGTAATTAAAACATGTAAGTCACGTAACGGATTGTTCCAAATCATTTTTTAAAAATCACGTAATTTAAAAAATTATATGATATTAAAAATAATTTCATCTATCACGTGATTTTATAATTATCGAATTTTAAAGCATTAAATAATAGAAGAAAAAAGAATATATTATTATATGATTTTTCAAATTATGTAATTTTAAAAAATTACATAATAATTTGAAACAATA